GTTTTTTTTTTTTTTGGGGGGGGGGGGTTAGTGCTTTAGGGTTCGGGGTCCAATTGACCATTGTGTTAATTTCTGATGCATTGACGTATTATCAAGGTTTGCTTTAATTTTTTCAGAATTTTGGTGATGTGCTGATATCTGTACTCTGTAATCTTTCTCTTGGGCCTTGTGTCAGTAATATTATGATTATTTAAATCACGACCATGGTCTTAAGTAAGGTGATAGTTGTCATAATGGTAACAGATGAGAGACGTGACCGATGGTATGTAACAAAAACAGAAGCCGGACGTGAATTTTATTTTTGGATCACCCCACCCCAAAAAAACAAAAGATATGCAGGTTTTAAGTCCAAAATCATGCAAGTTGGTATTTTTAGTGAGATATAATGAAATTTATTCTATCATGCACATTTTTTTCATATGTTCAGAAATTATCTTACTTTATAGTCGCTAATATAGGTGAACACTAAGTCACTAATGAATTCTTATTTTTTGCTACTTCATGAGCATAAATCCAAAAAGGGATCCATAATCATAGAAGTCTTCTTGATTAAGCTAGATCTAGCATAAGTCTTGAAGATTGACCATGGTTTAAGGAGATATGAAGATTAGAAAGTAGTTTGGCTCTCAAGGAAGAGCTCCTGCTAAGAAGACTGAAAAACTTGACATTTGAGGGTCCTTTTTATACCCATGCAATCCATGGCCGCAATGGTTTTTATGCATGTGAAATGTTTTAGGCTGTGAGCCTGTGACGCATTGTAACTACTGATTTTTAGAACCACAGTCATTACTGTCTTCTTAGCAAGATATCTATACTTCGGATTTTAACCGAGTCTTTTGGTTGTATAAGTTTTCTTTTCTTTTGCTTTAACAATCCGAAAGGAAAATTCGTTCCAGCTCTGCTGAAGTTAATTTTCCTTTGACAGATCATTTAAGTGCTTCTCAAACGGAGTTTATTTGCTTACTATTTATTGTATACAACCACCTTGTTATTAATCAGCAGGCCCAATTTGGCCCACTGGCAACAGGAAAAAAGTTAACTTTACCATGAAGAGTTGTTGTCAGTGTCAAGCGGGGTATTGCCCTTCCACTGTGCCAGACGAATAGTGGAATCAGAATCATGTTATTTTAAGCATGAGTGCTTTTTTTTTTGAATTTATCACATGTTGCCTTTAGGCTTTAGTTTATCGCCCATCTTCTTCTCTCTGCTATCTTTTTAACCTCAGTTCTACAAATGGCTTGTGTGGAGCTTACAGAAGCATCGGTGGTTGCCATTGGATGCTGCATCTAGATTTTTTTAAACCTTAAATGTTGTTTAATGGTCCTAATAAGTCTAGAATTTGACAGATTAACATAATGTTCTTTGTGTGATTCTAGGTATGTTCACAACAATATATTCTTCAGTTTTGCTGTGGATGCGGAATGTGAGCAGTTGTCCCGGAAGCAGTCGTTAGATGATTTAAAGATTGGGAAAGGCTTATTACACAGTTCATCTGAGTCTAGCACTAAATCCTCTCATGAAGGTTTTGCAAATTCGAATGGGGATATATCTAATGGCTTAAATAGAGAGGATCTAGATGGAGTCATGGAGGTGGCTCCTGATGTGCCTGCTGAGACACAGTTGGCTGAAAGTGAACAAGCCACATATGCGTCTGCAAATAATGATCTGAAAGGCACCAAAGCATACCAGGAAGCTGATGTTCCTGGACTATATAATCTTGCTATGGCTATCATAGATTACAGGGGTCATAGAGTGGTGGCACAGGTGTGTATTTAACTTGAGATGATCCTTAATCGTAACCAGAGGCTGATTTTTTGGTGATTTATCGATTGCCATTAATGACAGAATCTACGATTAGATTTTGATCTCATAGTTGGTTGCATGTTTGATGGCTGCAATGAGTATGGAGTTTTATTGTTAAAACTGCATTCTTTAATTGATTGTCTATCAATTGTTATTTGACTAGTGCGTTGTTATGAAATGACACTATTACCTATTTTCCTTCTTGTGTGCAATATCATACTGTTCGTTGCTGCCGTAGTAGTTTTCAGAACTTCAGTAATGCTTGTACTTTCTGAATGGAAGTGGTTATTCTTTGCTTAAATCGTCTTACTCACATGCTTAAGCTCAGGGAAGATACGTGTTTTTTTTTTATTTCCATCTTTTACACCAATTGTATTTTCTTTCTCATTCACTTGCAGAGTGTTCTACCTGGTATCCTTCAAGGTGATAAATCAGACTCGCTTCTGTATGGTTCTGTGGACAACGGGAAGAAAATTTGCTGGAATTCAGATTTTCATTCAAAGGTAGGATTCTATATGTATTTTTGCTTATTTTTTTATGCTGTCAGTTTATTTACTACATGTTATTTATTTTTATATTGTCGGAATCCATTCCTGAACTCCTTCCATGGTATAATTTGGGTTTTTTTTAACTAAAAAACAATTAACTTGCATAATATATTGCAACTTGATGGGTTTGTTTCACGTCGGGCTCTGTCAGAATTCTAAAAGTACATAACCTTTACACTATTATGTGGGCTGGAGTTAATTCAATGTTTATAGGAAGGTTTACCCTATCACTGCCTATTGCTTTTCTAGCTTACTAATAAAAGTCTTGTTATGATGAAGAAATGTATTCTTGTTAATTAGATTGGGACTTTCCTATGGTGTGAGGCAACAAACCTACTCAAACAAAGTAGTAATAGGCGACAAATGCAACCAAATTAAAATGCATGCAATATCAATAAAATTGATCACTTGACCACTCTATGATCAATATGTTAAGTATCTATCTCACTTAGCATGTTTAGAACAATCTTAGTAATTCGATCACAAAATTAATCGAGGTACACAATTTTTATGTGGAAACCCAATCGGGAATCCAGCCTAAAACCAAGCACTATGCGAATTAAGCAACTTACATGACTCAAAACTTTCTGACACAATTCGAATCCATGACCCAGTGCAATTGTACTTGTCTCAAAATTCCATGATCAAACCTGCGACCCTTTACTTCACGTGTGCTTCACATTGACTTCACAATGTTATAGATCACAAACCGAATCTACGATCCACTATCAATCAAATGAACGACCTGCCAATGGAACTAGACAATCTTCAAGGTTTGCTCGCACTCCACAAGTGCTTGGATTTTGACAACTCTCAAGGTGCTCTAAATTGCCAACCGAATGTATTAAAAACACTATATTTTGTGAGATATAAGGTCTTATATGGCTATAACCCATGAGAAACCTGTCCGACAATAGTAAGAATTCTGATCAAAATAGGAAGGTTTGTGTCCAAACAGGGATGGCTTGTTTGTACAAGGTTGAGCAAGTATCGAACTAGCAATGAATGATCTTGTTCAAACAATTATCCAATTAATTTCGAGGGAACTTTCTTGAAGTTCCCAGACCATAGCCTCCAAAGAGGGTCATTTCTGGCTAGCATCTCAATCTCTAGATCAATCAAGGGAGAAGTTTTCTATAAGCAAATAAGATATCTCGTGTTTTGAGCAGATCATGTAAACCGCCATTATAACTGCACGTGCCTAAAAAAGACAGCTATAATTGGAATGGGCAATTTTAACCTCTCTTCTTTAAAGGAAGACTGTCCTCATAGCGTCCCGTCACAAGTATCTAACAAGATATTCAGAACTTCCTTAGCACATTGTTTGGGCCACTTAGAACATATATCAATCGTTTCATGTAGAATCATCCATCATTAGAGTTGGACCCGTTGTTCGAATTGTAGGGATCTCGTCCAAACAAGATGCCTATATGACGCCGGAAATTGATGTTTTTGAGAAGTACGTTTTTCCAGCAAACATCTATGCCCGAGTTTCTTCACATGAAACCAGACCCTGTTATTTTTACGCCAAATTAACATCCTATTGGCATTCTATGTATTTAGGTTAGCAGGGATGAAATATCTAGAAACTTCATCTCACTTGGATAATGGCATTCAATGCTCAACAACCACTGACCTAGACGTATACAACCTTGACTGTGTTTTGACTTGCAGAATTTGCCAACACAACCTAAACTAACAAAATGATATACTTATTTAGCAAAAATGTATTATTCTTTTGGATTGAGCAATGGACAATGTGCATTTGGTGTTTTGACCATGGTCTTCAATACTCAACAACCATTGACCTAGACCTGTATAGACTTGACGGGGTTTTAAGGTACGGAATTTGCCAACACAGCCTAAAACTGACAAGGTGTCATATTCCTTCTTCGGATTGAACAATAAACAGTGCACATACGCTGTTGTACTCATCCATGCAAATGCGGCATCTGGTTGCGAAGGTAAGTTGTAATGTGGTATGTTGTCACCTTCAGAAGAAATTTCCTTTTGTTGTGATGGTTTCATGAACCCTCAATTTTTCTTATCTATTATTCCCATGGCCTTGTCATGGTTACTAATCCTTTGCTAACATAGGTACTAGAGGCTGCGAAATGCCTCCATTTGAAGGAACACATGGTGCTTGATGGATCTGGAAATGTTTGTAAATTAGCTGCACCTGTGGAATGCAAGGGCATTGTTGGCAGTGACGACAGGTGATAACTATCTTTTAGATGGCTTATTATTTTGGCTAAATCTCTTCTTTCCTTTTTCTTATGCTTCTTTATTTTCTTCTGAGATACTCGTTCAACTGTTTTTTCAAGATAAAAAATATCTATTTTGTAGAATCACTTTTGATTTTGATTTTGAACTTGGAAAGAAAGCAAGAAAATTCTTGATGAGATAGCTTTCCACTTCCTTCTTCTTGGTATGATTTGAAGGCTAGGTTTTGAAAGATTGACAGTTCTTATCAGCTACATTGTAATGGTTTGCATTTTAATGAGACCAACTTTTTTGTTCCAATTTTGCATAAGCAACAAACAGTATAAGCATTATCTTTGTTATGCTTAGGCACGTATTTTAACCCTCTTTCTATTGAACTTCAGACAGTATCTCTTGGACCTGATGAGAATCACTCCTCGTGATGCAAATTATACTGGCCCTGGGTCTAGATTTTGTATTTTGAGACCTGAATTAGTTAATGCTTTTTGCCAGGTAAGTTCTGCTTTATACTTCTATCAACAGTATCCTAATAAATTTGGGTGTTTTCTGTTCCTAACATCTGATTGACACGATGTGAGAAGACTGAGGCAGCAGAGAGGTCAAAATCTAGCTGTAAATTAGAGGGGGAGGCTCCTGTTGCAACTGATTCTCCTAAAGCTGATATTATGGAAGAACAGGTGACAACGGAATCAAGTGCATCACCAGCAACTGCTGTCACACAGGTAAAGGGTGCCCGCTTGGCAAGATATTTTCACTGATACAGTGGATTGGGATTTGTCTTAAAGCTTTTCTACAGAATAAGATGATGTAAAAAGTGATCACCTGCTTGGCCATTATGAGTGCGTACTGACAGTCAATCAGTATGTTTCTTCACATGTTTAAGTACCTGTGTATGCATGTATGTGTCACATATATTTTGGGATACCTTGTGTTGAAATATTTTGTGTATACTGACTATTTACATGCTACAATCATAAGCTCATTTTCTCAAACTTTGGCTGTCAAAAATAGGAAATGCTTGTGTTTGTGGTGGTATATGGTGTCTGGGATTGGAGGAGTTTGGAAAGGAGGATCAGTCCCCTTGCACCCCAAAACCACAGCCACACCACACCAACAGATACACACGAAAATGGAAATGAGGATTGCTTCCTTAAATGAGCTTTTCCTTTTTTTTTTTCTTCAAATTACTAAGCAAGTGTGAAATGCTTTGGTTGCAAAGAATAGCCCTTAATACCCTGTAGTAGATATTCTCTGGGGATTGGCCTGTCTGGTGCAGTTGCATGAGAGGTGACTCTCATGTAAATGGTATCTTTGGGATTCACTTCTTTCTTTGCATTATGCTATTCAAATACCATTTGCAGCTCTGCTAGGCCCTTAATCTCCCCAACTTCATTTTAATTTTCCTAACTGTAAGAAACACCGAGAAGGGACTTCTGCAGTTGTTAAACCCTCTCTATCTGTTCCTAACTCACGAGTGAGTTAATATTGGTTAACAAAGGCGCATTCAAACTTGGTTCCACTTATCAGGCTATTTATATCTTTTAATCTTTTTGTTATATAACTGATTGTAGTCCTTGTATCTTCAGGTTTACCTGTCACTTTGGTGTTCAATGTCACTTTATCCCGTGTTTAATAGTTATATTTATGGAAAATTTTCCTACACTTGGATCTACTCATTATCTCTTGCTTCAAAAGTTCTATATTTTGGTTTGTCTGAAACCTTCATTTCTCATTGGGATGCATTTAGTAGACTGCATACTTTGTAAAGTCACATGCCTCTGAGAAATGGTCAAAGCGGTAAATCTAAATCTGACCTAAAGTGATTGAATTGATAATCCAAGTGTAATAGAATTGTTCTCCACTAGTTGTGAAAGGAAAAGTAAGAGAATATGACAAATTGTGGAACTTAGGAGAATTATGACTATGCTATTTTTATGGAACTTTGATAAATGAAAATTCTCTTGTTGAAGGGAAACATGTAATATGATATTTGTTTCTTTTCAAATATACTGTCCTTTTCAACAGGAACCAATAGGATGAATATTGCATAATAATCATGGTTTGTGATATATTTCTGATAATTATTTGTGCTCAATTGTTACCCCACTTGCTTCAAATTATATGTGTTCTACTTCTGCTTTCTTAGGATACCACTAAAGAAGGTAAAAAGGACTCTATCGATAGGGAAATTTGTGAGGAAATAGTTTTTAACCCTAACGTCTTCACCGAGTTCAAGTTAGCTGGGAGCAAAGAGGCAAGTCTTGTAACTTTGTTATGTTGGTTCTTTCTTTTTGATCATGTATATGTTGATCTGGAAGTTCATATTATTTTGATCCTTTCTTGTATCACCAGGAGATAGCTGCAGATGAAGAAAATGTTAGGAAAGCAAGTTTGTATCTGAGAGATGTTGTGCTTCCAAAGTTTATACAAGATCTCTGCACACTTGAAGTTTCACCCATGGATGGACAAACATTAACAGAAGCACTCCATGCTCAGGGAATTAATGTCCGCTACATTGGAAAGGTAAGTGTGAGCTACTGATGGGTTCCATTCTGCCCATTTCTGATTAGATGTTGGCTTGTAAAGAAATTGTTTTAGAGATAACAATTTTTTTGCTTTTGTTGGGATCTATAACTGTCAAGCAACTCATTAGTGTTTGACATGTTCGAGTCCAGGTAGCTGATGGGACCAANCTTTTTTTTTTTCTTCAAATTACTAAGCAAGTGTGAAATGCTTTGGTTGCAAAGAATAGCCCTTAATACCCTGTAGTAGATATTCTCTGGGGATTGGCCTGTCTGGTGCAGTTGCATGAGAGGTGACTCTCATGTAAATGGTATCTTTGGGATTCACTTCTTTCTTTGCATTATGCTATTCAAATACCATTTGCAGCTCTGCTAGGCCCTTAATCTCCCCAACTTCATTTTAATTTTCCTAACTGTAAGAAACACCGAGAAGGGACTTCTGCAGTTGTTAAACCCTCTCTATCTGTTCCTAACTCACGAGTGAGTTAATATTGGTTAACAAAGGCGCATTCAAACTTGGTTCCACTTATCAGGCTATTTATATCTTTTAATCTTTTTGTTATATAACTGATTGTAGTCCTTGTATCTTCAGGTTTACCTGTCACTTTGGTGTTCAATGTCACTTTATCCCGTGTTTAATAGTTATATTTATGGAAAATTTTCCTACACTTGGATCTACTCATTATCTCTTGCTTCAAAAGTTCTATATTTTGGTTTGTCTGAAACCTTCATTTCTCATTGGGATGCATTTAGTAGACTGCATACTTTGTAAAGTCACATGCCTCTGAGAAATGGTCAAAGCGGTAAATCTAAATCTGACCTAAAGTGATTGAATTGATAATCCAAGTGTAATAGAATTGTTCTCCACTAGTTGTGAAAGGAAAAGTAAGAGAATATGACAAATTGTGGAACTTAGGAGAATTATGACTATGCTATTTTTATGGAACTTTGATAAATGAAAATTCTCTTGTTGAAGGGAAACATGTAATATGATATTTGTTTCTTTTCAAATATACTGTCCTTTTCAACAGGAACCAATAGGATGAATATTGCATAATAATCATGGTTTGTGATATATTTCTGATAATTATTTGTGCTCAATTGTTACCCCACTTGCTTCAAATTATATGTGTTCTACTTCTGCTTTCTTAGGATACCACTAAAGAAGGTAAAAAGGACTCTATCGATAGGGAAATTTGTGAGGAAATAGTTTTTAACCCTAACGTCTTCACCGAGTTCAAGTTAGCTGGGAGCAAAGAGGCAAGTCTTGTAACTTTGTTATGTTGGTTCTTTCTTTTTGATCATGTATATGTTGATCTGGAAGTTCATATTATTTTGATCCTTTCTTGTATCACCAGGAGATAGCTGCAGATGAAGAAAATGTTAGGAAAGCAAGTTTGTATCTGAGAGATGTTGTGCTTCCAAAGTTTATACAAGATCTCTGCACACTTGAAGTTTCACCCATGGATGGACAAACATTAACAGAAGCACTCCATGCTCAGGGAATTAATGTCCGCTACATTGGAAAGGTAAGTGTGAGCTACTGATGGGTTCCATTCTGCCCATTTCTGATTAGATGTTGGCTTGTAAAGAAATTGTTTTAGAGATAACAATTTTTTTGCTTTTGTTGGGATCTATAACTGTCAAGCAACTCATTAGTGTTTGACATGTTCGAGTCCAGGTAGCTGATGGGACCAAGCACCTACCTCACTTAAGGGATCTGTGCTCCAATGAGATCGTGGTCAGGTCTGCGAAGCACATACTCAAGGTGATCAGCATATCTTTACACACTTCAGCATCTTTTTGCTTGCATGTTACGCTGCTGAGCTTATATTTGTACCTTTTATGTGTACTGCAAGCCATAGGAATATAGGTTAACTTGCAATCTAATTTTAGATAGTGAAAAGCCTACTTCTCTGATGGAGATGCTGGATGACTGACATGGTTTCTGTATCTCCTTTTTGTCATTTTACTGTGTGGCATATTTTCATTGATTTGGCTTCTTGGCATCCAGATGGAGCATAAATATTTTGATATGCCTTGCGTCGGTCAATTGCTTCTGTCTGTGTGGTGGAACAGGTAATATAACCTAATAAATGGGATATGTGGAAGATGCTGCAAATCTTAAACATTACCTCGAGGCCCTAGCTTTCAAATTGTTGAACTGAAAATGATGGAACCAAAAAGGACCTTACGAGAGAGTCATCAGATTCACACGTCCCATGGTTCACGACAATCTGTGCAATTCTCTAGTTTATGGTCACTAAATATATGAAATAAACAAAAAAGAGAAGAAAATGGAGCACACATGGGAGTCTGTCCTGTGTTAAGTATTAATATTAGTATTAATATTAGGTGTAGCTTAGGTGTTTACTTTATTCTGTGTTGCCCTACTATATAAGGGCCTACATTTTGTATTTTGGGTTAAGTTGTTTCAACCAGACTATTAGCTGTAGTGATGTATTATTTCTTTCTTACTCTTCTTTTCTCTTTACTTTAACGAAATTATCATGGTATCAGAGCGTGTTTCAATCCAAACACGATGTGCAATTGATTTCTATTAACCAGAAAATGAAATTGAGGTTTGAATAGGCTGAGGTCAGTATTTTGACAGTGGCGTCAGCTGTCCGGCAGCCGTCAAAGACACCAATATGATCGATTCTTCATGGGCACCAACCTAACACCATTAGTTTTCGATTTTGAGGTCTGCCTATGGGAGTTTTGAAGTTTCGAATATTTAGGACAGATTTTCTGCGATTTTTGAGATCTGACTTCTTCGCTAGATCTCTCCTTTTTTTTTTTTTTTTTAATCACCTTTATAAGGTGCGAATAAGGGCCTTTGGAGGTTGGATGAATGATTCAATTCACTTTGAAGTGTTTTGAGACAAAATCTAGCCTATTATCTTCTTTGGTTGGCTGGTTCTGTTCTTCGGCTCATTGCTTTTGCTCTTCTTGCTGTCAGATTGTCTTCAGGGTGTAGCAGGGTGTTGGATTCTGTGGTTGCTATCTGGTTTGAGATTTATTCTTTTGGTATTGGATATTTCTTCTTCTTCCTAGCTTTCTATGTGATTTGTGTTGCTGGTTGCCTTGGTGGTTGTTACGTTGGCAGCTAGCCCATTGTTATCTGGGTCGCGGGTCGCTTTGGTACCTGGTATAGGTACGGGTACATGGTACGACATTTTCTTAACGTTACGATGGGGTTAGGTTTAACTGGGATGGTGTTTTGGATCGTACTTTATTTTGGAACTCTTATGTAGATCTTTTTCACTATTATACAATATTATATATTACAGAATATTTATAAATACTAAGTTAGTTACCATTTATCTTATATTTGTGCTTGATTTTTCANAAGAGAAGAAAATGGAGCACACATGGGAGTCTGTCCTGTGTTAAGTATTAATATTAGTATTAATATTAGGTGTAGCTTAGGTGTTTACTTTATTCTGTGTTGCCCTACTATATAAGGGCCTACATTTTGTATTTTGGGTTAAGTTGTTTCAACCAGACTATTAGCTGTAGTGATGTATTATTTCTTTCTTACTCTTCTTTTCTCTTTACTTTAACGAAATTATCATGGTATCAGAGCGTGTTTCAATCCAAACACGATGTGCAATTGATTTCTATTAACCAGAAAATGAAATTGAGGTTTGAATAGGCTGAGGTCAGTATTTTGACAGTGGCGTCAGCTGTCCGGCAGCCGTCAAAGACACCAATATGATCGATTCTTCATGGGCACCAACCTAACACCATTAGTTTTCGATTTTGAGGTCTGCCTATGGGAGTTTTGAAGTTTCGAATATTTAGGACAGATTTTCTGCGATTTTTGAGATCTGACTTCTTCGCTAGATCTCTCCTTTTTTTTTTTTTTTTTAATCACCTTTATAAGGTGCGAATAAGGGCCTTTGGAGGTTGGATGAATGATTCAATTCACTTTGAAGTGTTTTGAGACAAAATCTAGCCTATTATCTTCTTTGGTTGGCTGGTTCTGTTCTTCGGCTCATTGCTTTTGCTCTTCTTGCTGTCAGATTGTCTTCAGGGTGTAGCAGGGTGTTGGATTCTGTGGTTGCTATCTGGTTTGAGATTTATTCTTTTGGTATTGGATATTTCTTCTTCTTCCTAGCTTTCTATGTGATTTGTGTTGCTGGTTGCCTTGGTGGTTGTTACGTTGGCAGCTAGCCCATTGTTATCTGGGTCGCGGGTCGCTTTGGTACCTGGTATAGGTACGGGTACATGGTACGACATTTTCTTAACGTTACGATGGGGTTAGGTTTAACTGGGATGGTGTTTTGGATCGTACTTTATTTTGGAACTCTTATGTAGATCTTTTTCACTATTATACAATATTATATATTACAGAATATTTATAAATACTAAGTTAGTTACCATTTATCTTATATTTGTGCTTGATTTTTCATTATCTAAAATAATATATAATTATAAATTTATATACATGTAGTCAATTAATATGTATTTTTTATATTTTTACTACATGTTTTAAAGTGAATTAATTTTGGATTAGCATTACAATTTGGGGTCGTCTAATTTAGTGATCTAGATCACGAACCTACCTCGTTTGGGATCTATATACTCAAATCGTGCGTCGTTAAGGGTAGTGAATTGTGGTAACTATGGACTAGCCTCTATTAGGTTGTTGCTGAACATTTGCACAAGGCTTTGGTATTTGATATTCTGGGCTATTACCGGTTTTCTGTGATAAAGGCTTTGGGCTTGGTCTTCTCGTGGACCTTAATTCTCTTGAACTCTGCTAGTTGTTGGTCTTTATATTGGGCTTTGGAATTGGAAGTCTGGGATTAGATTTGCATTGTGGGGCATCGGATCTCCTTGTAGCTTATTGATTTTGCTTCTCTGTGCTGCATCGATGCTATTGTACTAGTTTTAGTTTTGGTATGACTTTTGGGCTCTTTTATGCTATGGGTTATTTGAGAGGGTTGCAGGGCTATATTTCTTCTTTGATTTGATATCTTGCTAGAGTTAGTCTTGGATTTCTTTTGCTATGATAATGGCTAGTGAAACTTCTGATACTCTTCAGGCCTTCAATGTGGAACCAACTCCCCGATTGACCATGATAGCTAATTAGTTGCAAGAGTCTCTCTCCTTCAAGCATCCTATTGCTCTTTTAGTATCTTCTTCAGTAGGTTCGTTCGTTTTAGGTCCATCAGATATGTCTCAAATCACTTGGGTATTTGATTCAGGTTCTACACATCATATAACCAGTGACTCTTCTCTATTTGCATCTATGTTCTTTCCTTCATCTGTATCTTTACTTGCAATCAATGGTACTCAAATAACATTAGCTGGTGTTGTGACTATTAGTTCTTCTCACTTTAATACTCTGAGATATTTATTATATCCCTCAACTTACTTTGAATTTGATATAAGTTAGTCTGCTCTTTGATTCAGGATTTTCAATATTGTTTTATTTAGGATTCATGTTCCATGAAACTGATTGGGGTAGGTCGTTGAAAAGGAGGGTTGTATGTATTGGATGAGCTACATGTTTTAGATATTGCTTCTACTGTTGATTTGCCTTTTTTTCTTCTAAGTCCACAATCGTCTAATTTTTATTTGTGGTATTCTCGCCTTGGTCATGTTTGTTATTCTCGTTTGAATTTCTTTTTCTCTACTGGTAGTTTGAGTAGTTTAGAGTGCCATGACCTTTTACTAAAAGTTTTACTAGCTCCCTTGCACTTTTTGATCTTGTTCATTCAGATGTGTGGGGACCTACTCCTATTCCCACAAAAGGGGTCTAGAAATTATGCCTCTTTCATTAATGATTATACTAAGTACTGTTGGTTATATCTAATGAAACATCGTTCTAAATTCTCTTCTATTTTCATTACTTTTTGTGCCATGACACACAGTTAATATTTTTCAGTTATTAAATATTTTCGATGTGACCAAGGTAAAGAATATTTCTTTAATCCCTTTCGTGATTTGCTAAAATCTAATGGCATTATTTGTCAATTTTTTTGTATTGACACTCCTAAACAAAATAGTGTAGTAGAGCACAAACTTCGACACATCATGGAGACAACACGTTCTCTCTTGTTATCTGCAAGTGTTCCAAGTTTTTTTTGGGGGGAAGCAATTCTTACTGCGGTTCATATGATTAATTATATTCCCACCATCATCATTTCTAGAATCTCTCATTTTGAAAAATTGTGTGGTAAGGCACTTATTTTTTTTACGTGTTTTTGGATGCACTTGTTTTGTCTTACTTCCTAGTATTCTTCGTACTAAACTTTCTATTCGTTCAACTTTATGTGTTTTTTTTTTGTTACGGTGAGGGTCAAAAAGAGTATCGTTGCTATGATCTTGTTTCACTCAAACTCTGTCTCTCGCTGTGTTGTCTTTATGGAACATACTCATTTCTTTTCGATTCATTCTTGTTCTTCGTCTGTGTATAAATCTAATTTCATTTACATTGATTCATTTCTTACTAATGTTCCTAAGGATATACATATGTTAGTGATATAACTATGTTGGATTTGCCATCATTTTCTTCTGATGATGATTGATTTGTATGTTATGTGCCCCCTATTGTACATACTTATGTTCGCAGGATTCCTGTTGTTTCTTCTACGAATGAAGTACCTCTTTCTCCTACTTCTATCACTCAATTAGGTTCTTAGGTTCTGACATTGTGGATCATGCTTCTCGCTATCCTCAGCACTCTTGAAAATGTCCAAATAGATGTAGTTTCTCTAACTTTTGTTATTCTTCTGATTTTTGTGTCTTTTTCATTTCTATTAACTCTTTGTCTGAGTCTACCTTCTATAAGGAAGTTGTACTTGATACCTTTCGGCAACAAGCTATGGAGGAGTTATCTATCTTATATAAGACTCGAGCTTGGGAATTAGTTTCTTTACATCCTGGCAAACACACAATTGGATGTAAGTGGTTTATAAGATTAAAACCAAATCAAATGGTATTGTAGAAAGATACAAGGTTCGATTAGTACTCAAGGAATTTGCTAAAGAGTATGGGTTAAACTATGGTGAGACTTTTGCTCTTGTTGCTAAAATGACCATTATTTGTACTGCGATTTCTATAGCTGCCATTCATTAGTGACACTTGACTTAGCTTGATGTGAAAAATACTTTTCTTTATGGAGACTTATCTGAAGAGGTTTTTATGACTTCTCTACTTGGATTGTTTCATAGTCGTGGTCAAGTATGCAGACTTCACAAAGCATTATATGGACTTAAGCAGACTCTTAGGACATGGTTTGTCAAGTTCTCCTTGGTCATCTGTGACTTGGGTTTTCAGGCTAGTGAATATAACTTTGCTCTTTTTCTATGGTCCATTGCCTTTGATTTTATTGTTCTCCTACTTTATGTTGATGATATAATCATTATAGGTGATGATACTGCTGGTATTAGCCTTTTGAAAACTCAGTTGCAGGAGCACTTTGAAATGAAATATTTGTGTCAGCTTTGATATTTTTTAGAAATTGAGGTTGCTTATTCTCTCAAATATTATCTTTTTTCTCAATCCAAGTATGCATCAAATGTTATTCAACGACGAGCACATTTATCACATAATCGGACAGTTGAGACACCCTTAAAGCTCAATGTTCGGTATTTTTCTTATGATGATACCTCAGCCTGATCTTACTTTCTAACGCACAATTGTTGGGAGTCTAGTATTTCTTATAATTACTCGCCCAAATATCTCGTATGTTGTTCATATTGAGTTAGTTTGTCGCCTCACCAACCACTCTTTTTATTGAGCAACTATAATTCGGTATCTTCATCAGAGTTTACTATTTTCTCACTCCCCTCCTCTATGGAACTCAGAGCTTACTCATGTTGATTGGGTTGGTGACCCTATGGGTCGCAAGTTCATCATTGATTTTTGCCTTTTTTTTGGAGATTCTCTTATTTCTTCAAAATGTTGTTGCTCGTTCTTCTGCTGAAGTTGAGTACTGTGTTATGGCATCTACCATTGCTGAGATAGTCTGCTTACGATGGCTACTTGATGAACTTGGTATATCCTTATCTTCTCCTACTCTTATGTACTATGACAATACTAGTGTTATTTAGATTGTTCATAATTCAATCTTTCATGAGTGTACAAAGCACATTGAGATTGATTGCTATTTTGTGCGTCACCATCTCCAATTGGGCACGGTCACTCTTCCTTTTCTTCCTTACACCATGCAGATAGTGGATTTTTTTATAAAATGTCACACCATAGCACGCTTTTGATTTTTTTTTTTTGACAAACTCTTGATGTTTCCACCGCATCATGAGTTTGAAAGAGAGGGTGGGGGGGGGGGGAGGG